CCCCGGTGCGCCCGCAAAAAGAGTCCGTGCCAGGCTGAGTACGACTTTATTGGTGCCGGGGAAGGACGGGGCGCGGCCCCTCCGGTGCTCGCCGCCGCTGCCGCCTCACCGGCGCTGGTTCAACCCCGCCAGGTTCTTGATCTGTGGGCACAGGGAGAACGGGCTTTAGTGCCCCTGTCCCGGAGCAGGTGCCGAGGGGAGGCCCTTGTGCTACGAGCAGAGATGCGGGGGCGAGAGGCATCTCTGTGATCTGAGGATGGGCAAGAATCAATGTGGAGCCACGTCTGGCCACCCCTCTGATCAGAACCTTCTCTCCTGGTCAGTATGTTTTAGCTTGGGTTTATTTCTGCAGTCACACAGACCTCGACAGCGAATTTATGCTTTTGGGGCATTATGCTCACTCATCCACTTGGCAGAGAGCTGCAGAACTCAGCACTCCTGTAAAGGAGTACACCTCGGGACACCCTGGACATGGGAGGCTGGAATGTGTTCCCCTAACAGTAATGTATTGGGATGATTCTGCCCTAAAGCCATCTGACTACAATCCATCCAGGTCCTCCCGTTCATCTGTGCAGTGAATCTGCTGCAGGGACAGACCAAACATCGGCAGTGGGAGATATCCGGGACCTGAGAGCACCATGTGGATGTGAAACAGAGCCCGGGATTTCTCTGGTGGAGGAGCCTTTTGGCATATGCAGGTATGAGAGAGGAGAGAGGCTGAGAGACAATACATTCCACCACAACTGCAGGGGGAAGGAGGTGGGAGAAATTCTTGAGAAGTGCTTCATCAGTAAAAACAATGTCTAATTTATGTTCCAACCTACTTGTCTTGTCCTGATACAACGTAATACATTTCTGATAACAAGGAAATCACTTTGTTACTAAATGAAATGGGCATTGCCCAAAAATAGAATCACAGCGAGGCCCTGAAACCTTTCAAAAGTCACTCCTAGGTACACAAAGGGTTATTTTGTATCCCAGATGAAGTGCAGTTCCCTCTGCATGGACAGAAGGCAGTCCAGGACACTACCAAGAGTGAATAAATTATTGGAAGGACACTGAGGTCAAACGAAACAGCTTGAGGAAGTCACCCTGCCGTGGCTCAGGGACAGGTGCCACCTCCCAAGTAGCCATGGGGCCATTGACCCTCAGTCAAGATTTCCAGCACAGGGCCTGGCACAGGGAGGGATCTCGTGACAAGCAGTGGAGAACAGTTGTATTTATTCTGATCACCCGTCTCTCATCCCTAAAGCTCACCCTGCAGCTTCAGACTTAATTTCCTCATCCTCTATTCAAGTTCTTTCACCACAAAACAGCGAACTAACCTCAAACTACTATGGAAATCACCCTTAAATAAATCTATGTTATGAAAGATGAGTTTTTCCATGTGTTTCCATGTTGTCCTCTAGATTTGGGAGGAAAACACATGCCGACATTCAGAAGTAATTCTGCTCTTACAGCCCTGCTGGTTTAAGCATTACTCACAGTAACTGCAGCTCCCATCAGGCCCTGGACAACAGCTTCTCCAGTGGATTGTACCTGGAAGACACAGGGAGAACACAACCTTTTGCTTCCTGCAGTTGCACTCGTGGCCCCCAAACACTGAGAAAATGCACAACAAAGATGTATTTGCTACAGAAAGGTGCTGACAGCACTGCAGACAAGTGACAGCCACAGACAGGGCACATGGAAGGGTTTTCCTGGGATGTCTCCTGACCACAGGGACAGTCTGACAAAGAGGGCACCTACATGTCAGTTTACCAAAAAACACATAATCATGTATTGGTTTTGAACTGACAGCAACGAGGGAGTCTCAGCAGATGTGGGATCTGCATGATGGAAAAGCCAGGTGTATGCCTGCATATGTCCTTGGGAAGAAGGGATTTTCTGCATGCACACCTGTCCCTAAGCTTACCTGGCTGGCTGTGTTGCTCATGGTCATGGCGTCAGCCACTCTGTTTTCCAGGAAGCGCCAAGTATCCTCGAAGCCAGGGGACGAGTCCTGCATCATCACCAGCTCAGTGGTGTTGTAGATGCCAGTGAGCACAGCCCGGCGAGTGTACCAGTTAAACTGCAGGGGCACAGGAGGAGAGAGAAAGCTGGGATCTGAATGCACATCAAGAGTGCAGCTATCAGAGAACAGCAAGGGAAAATCCCACACCCACAGCATGTTCCTTCCCATATAGAGGAATTTGCCACTTGCAGCTGGATCTCTCAGGGCTTGAGACAAAACTCTTTCTGCTCTCTTCCTGCCCCTAAAAACCCACCTGAAGGGGTCTCTGAGGCATGAGAATATTCTGCCTGGCTCCTGTGCTGGGAAGAGGTATCTGCTGTGAGCGAGTTAAAAACCCATTACTTGGAAAGAGGGAGCAGGCTCAGCATCACAGCTTCCCCAGAAAACTCATGTAACCGGTCAGGAGGTGCAAACAAAACACTAACTTTAGAACCTCTCCTAATCCCTGCACCAGTGAGACTTTAGGAACAGCTCAGTGCAGACACTGGCTCCAACATGTTGATTTGACTTGCATAACTCGTAAGGGACTTTCAGTTCCTGAAGCAATTGTGTTCTTTCAGTTGTCTTCTGGTTTATTCCTTTAATTTTTCTGCTGTCTTATTTATTTTTCACTGCAGTACCTTCTCTTTATACACAGATAAAAGAAGCTTATTAAAGTAGTTTGTTAAAATGGTTCATTTAGCTTTTTCCATCTCTCCCTACATCTATAAGAATTAAAGTAATTTATTAATTGCTATAATTAAGGTTATAATTTTCTTTTATTTCCTGCCAGAAAGATGAAAGCTTTAATAAGCTACTGGTATTTTTAGGTAGGTTCTTTAAAGGTTTTCAAGTCAAGTCTGTAAATGCTGTTGCTGGTAGAAGAGAGCTGTTTGACAGACCCACTGCTCACTCACTGAAAACTGGATCAGCTTCTTAGTCTCAAAATCTCAACAACTTTGTCTGTGTCTTCAAAAAAGAAAAAAAGAAGAACACTTAAAA